GATACTAACAGAACAATTCTTTAGAAATAAGTTAACAAGGTAAAGAAACTGTCACCTCTTGGGCCATCAGGGTTGCCATACATCTCCCAGTTGTTCCGTGATTCCTCATTAGTTAAACTGTGAGAAGGCATGAGTGTGGACAACAATTTTTAAAACCCGGATGATTATATATGTGGTGCAATATTGACAAGTAACAGAAAGGTGCTGCATGGGTATTTTAAGAAGATTAAGTGTTTAATTCTGGCACAGTGGATGACATTTTTATAAAAAGCTTTTACGAATTGTATTGTGCTGCACCTATGATTACACACTGCAATACCAACACCAACCCACACACATAAAAATGAGTTGGCAACTGCTATAAATAACATGACATTAAATGTGGAAGGCAACAATAAATAAGTCGGGTGATGGCAACAGTCTTACGCTGAGTAAGCTTTAGCAAGCTTCATGAACATGGCCTCATCTCCACCTTTATCAGGATGGTGTTTCAGAGACAGTACTCTGTACTGCTTCTTAATCTCAGCAATAGATGCTCCCTAAACAAAAACATAATGGATATATTAATCTTGAGAAGAAGCAGATTAAAGATTAAAATGAGAAAGAACAAGATTCTCAAAAGAAGAAGAAAGGCGTCCTTACTGCTTCCAGGTGGAGGACCTCATAGGGGTTATACTCCTGGTACTCTCGATCTAATTTAGACACCTTATAGGCCAGGAAAAGAAATACTGCCCACCCAAACAATAGGGCTGCTTTTCTAAGATGACAGAGATGTACATTTTTAGTCTGTAACCAAAATTTACATTAGAATAGACAGCAGCTGCTATATGTCATGGTGACTAAACAGCAAAAAGAGCAGATTTAAGCCATGAAAGACAGGGTATTTCTGAATACTACACACATCTGATGCAAGCTTTGTTCTTTAAATAGTTGGAGCAGAGATTCGATGAGTGTCTGAAGTCAGTGTCATCCGGAAGAATTAATAATTTCATAAATTTCGACGACAGTAATATGAACAAAATAATAATAAAAATGTAAAATTAAATTAGACCAACACAATCAAATGGATCTTGACTTGTCTGACTCTGAAAATTCATAAATCAAATAAAAAATGCATGATATCTGTTGCAAGACAACCAAAAAGCATTGCTGTCCCCTTGGTGATTCAAACTAAATTAAATATTTTCAGAACACCAAGCACTTAATACAATAATTAATACAAAATATGTTTATTTTTATCCTTTAATATAGTTACCATGCAAAGCAAGCAAATGAAATAATACTTTAGCAATTTACATCATTTTAAACCGATTCTGTTGTCCAATTAATTTTGTTCCCCAGTGCTCACTGTATACTGTACACACAACTCCAGAAACCTTTTGAAATTACAACGATTTATTCATGTTAAAAACGAAACGCTCACAAACCGCAAACAGACAGGACACAAGTGCAGTGTGTCAAAATAACAGTAGGTGCAATGAGCTAAATGAGATTAATTCCCCTAAACCGCCTTTTACTAATTACACATAGGGCTGGACAATAATTCAATATCAATATGTATCGCGATATAATCTTTTTCAATAACGGTGATATGATTTTTAAACACATTTCCGATATTTCGATATACATTAATTCTCTTCTGCTCACCAAGGCTGCATTTAAAGTACATCAAAAACAGTAAAATGTTGAAATATTTTTACTATTTAAAATTGCTTTCTATTTGAATAGATTTTAAAATGTAATTTATTCCTGTGATCATGCATAGGTAAATTTTCAGCATCATTACTCCAGTCTTCAGTGTCACATGATCCTTCAGAAATCATTCTAATATGCTGATTTGCTGATTATCAATATTTAAAACAGTTGAGTTTTAAATATTGATTTTAAACAGTTGAGTTGAGTACATGAAATAAAAAGCTTTTGTAACATTATACACTATTCCATTCAGTATAATTTTTATTATTTTTTTGGGAAAGAAATTATAGAAATTAATACTTTTATTTAGCAAGGATGCTTAAAATTGATCAAAAGTGATGATAAAGGCATTTATAATGTTACAAAAGATTTCTATTTCAGATAAATAGTGTTCATATCGATATCGGAATTATATCGTATCGACCGAAATTAAGAAATATATCGTGACATCAATTTTGGCCATATCGTCCAGCCCTAATTACACACAAACATAATCACTTACTTTAGTGTTGGAACAATGCTCTGCTGTGATTTCATAAGCCGAAGGCGATACCACAGACATCTTCCATGTACTCGTCGTAAACTCTTCAACCTTAATTGCTCTGTGAATTAATTCACATAACAGACAACAATAAGAAAAAAAATCAGCATTGTGTAATCTAATTCACAACCACCATGCAAACATACAAATTCTGCCAAAACAGTACTGTATCATTGTATAGAAATAGTTTTTGATAGTAAATTATACAAAGTAATAATATTAACGTCTAAAAAGCATGGTAGTGCTGTTCATTTTTAGTTAGTGAGGTACTGCAAACCTTTTTATTTTTATCTGAATGTGACCCTCTTACATTATGAGCTAGATTACGAAAGCTGCCTCAAAGTATGCCAAAATGTTATTGTTATAAAACAGAATAAACAGAAGACATGGATCTGTGTGCAATAAAACCAGCTTTATTAATATTTGAAGGGTTTTATATACACACAAAAAAACAAAACTTTAACTTTTGTGTTTTCAGTCTGGTAGGAAAATATTGAGCCATAAAGGCATATAAAAACCAAGAACCTATTAACCTTTCTTGTGAATGTGTTATTGCGCACACTGCATACTTGTTTGCACAACTGGAAATCTGCACGGTCTAATACAGACATTTGCATTTTATATACAAATATTAATTTATTTACATATTGTATTTCTCCTTAAGTGTTTAATTTTAATGCAACATTTGTATTGTGTCAATATCAAATTCGTACATTTGTCATTTTGTTATATTGTAGCCTGCAGAATCTAGAATCTAGAAATTGTCTGCAAATATGGGTTCATTTATTGTGAATTCGATCAACTTCGATTGCCTTAAACTTGAATAGCATGTCGATCTAGTGCAGTGGTTCTCAAACTGGGGTACGTACCCCTGGGGGTACGTGAGATGACGGAGGGGGGTACTCGAAGAAAATTCTGAGTTTTGGCATTCATTTAATTCTACCCCAACTGAAAAGTAACATTAAAACCGAACGTATATTTCTGACAAGCAAAATGCAGCTTCTAATGTAAAAACAGGAAAATGGGAGTGCCGTAAGTAAACGGTCAAATACATAGTGGAAGAGAGGGGGTACGCAGAAGAATGTTAAATGCCCCAGGGGGTACGCCACTGTAAAAAGTTTGAGAACCACTGATCTAGTGCATGTAAACAGCATGTAAAAGTGCAGTTTATGAGAGTGTAATTCACAAGGTGAACATACCACCATGACCAGCTAAATAAACAGATACCTTTGCAACATTTCATAACACGTGCTGGAAAATGTGTGGGACTGGCATGCCATGAAGACAGAAAAGACACAATTAATGATCTATGACGACCATTATATAATCATATCAGGTGGTCTTAAAGCAATATATTTGTCAATGTAAACAAACGAGAACATACGAAAAAAAGCTTATATTAAACGGATGACCAGTACATTTAACGTAGGTAACATGCGTTTGATGCTAGCAATGTTCAAATATAGCCTACATTTACAAGTATTGGCATTATGATCCATAATTGACATTTAAAAAAGATTGGAAATATCCCTAAGTGTAACTGTTGGTTAAGCTGAGTGGGGGTCAGCTGCTAATGCTACGTATCCACAATCAGGCGAGCCCTTCATGCCATTACTAGATGTATACTAGTATTCGTTTTATTAAATAACGTTACTGCAATGTAAAAAATAATCCTCACAGAGGTGGCAATCTGGTTATCAGTGCTGATCATCAGTATCCACAATCAGGCGAGCCCTTCATGCCATTACTAGATGTATACTAGTATTCGTTTTATTAAATAACGTTACTGCAATGTCAAAAATAATCCTCACAGAGGTGGCAATCTGGTTATCAGTGCTGATCATCAAGCGACATGTAGCTGCTTAGCTGGTAAGTGTATTAGCATATGGGGCCTTACCCGCATTCTGATCCCGGGGCCAGAGGTAATAGGTGGCTGGGATGACTATTAGTCCCACAAAAGACGTGAGGAAATAGAAAAAGGTGTTGCCACTGTCGTCGTACTGAAACTGTTGTCCAGCCATTTCGCAGCGGCTCTAAACCCCGATTTTTTCTGCCGCCTTGCCGCCCTATCAGTCGCTCAACTGTAGTAGGACTAGTCACATATGCTGGAGAAGGAAGCCAACATCCACTTTCTGGCACGGTAGCGACTGTTTTCAAAATAAAAGCTTTTCGTGTTATTTTATTAAGAATGGCCGCCAGTCCTGCCCGTTTAAAAATCGGTGGGTATTTTAAAAACGCATGTTATTTTATTGTACTGCAATCAAGTTGCCAGTAGTATAAAGAATGAGTGGATTTCCACGTTCAACATGACTTGAGCTTTTATTATGGCGTTAATAACGCCTCACCGCTTGCTGTCGAAGTTTTGAAATATGAAAAATCTGTGCGCCTAGCAGTGTACGTGTTCTACGCATGCGCTCAACGGGAGTAGGTGTTTTCACACAACTCGTACTTCTCTTTTAGATGCAGTTTTTCTTTCTTTCTTTCTTTACCAAATAAAGTGGGGTTTTCAGCCTGTACAGATTTAGGGACCCCTCACACAGACTCTGAGCCAACCCAAGGACTCCAATATAGCTGTAACCAGATATTTTAAATAGCATTTTGTGTTATTTATAACTTGAATGAACATAAATTCCATGCTGCATAATGGATTAATAATGCATAGAAAACATAGTAGAAAATCCTGTTTTACAGGTTACAGGTTCACAGACCCCTAATTGAAAACCCTGGTTTTAAACCATTAGCAGATGAAAACTTTAGATCCTTATGGAGGATATTGTTTTATTATACGAACACTTGTCCTTCTTGATTTTGTAATTCAACATATGCATTGCATTATGATGACTCCAACATATAACAACATAATTGCACATAAAATATACATACTACAGTGATTAACAAAACAAGTCACCTTATAAATTAGAGCATTTTGTCAACATGTTGTATTCATTATCATATGCAACATTACTTTTCAACACTAATTGTACATACATTTTCTTTTTTTAGTGGTTCGCCCAAGTGAGGCTGCAATGTCTTGTCTTTTAGATATTCCACCAAGACTTCCAGAGTGTCCGTAGCGTAGTTCATGGAAAGGTTTTTGGGTTACATCATCCCCAATGCAGTCCACTAGAACATTATACGTTTCTAGGAACATGTTGTATAAAATACAGCAGGTCTTCACAGCTAAACTGGCTTGGCAAACGGAATGCTTCTGCAGACATCTGAGCCTCTGAAAACAAGATCTCAGAGTATGGATGGAGCCTTGTGCCACTGCAAGAGATGACTGCACCTTCTGGTTATAACATACTTTTTTCTGTCCTAGTGTTGCATAATCAGGGAATGGAGTCAGAAAGTGCTCTGAAAGTGGGAAGGTGGAATTGCCAATAATGTGTTTGCCATGTAGCAGAGCCACAGGGTTTTCCCGCAATGCCTTGCCAACCTCCGTGGCTGACAGGACTCTTGAGTTATGCCAATTTCTAGGGTGCTCTGCAGACACATAGGTAAAGCGACCCATGTGGTTGCAAAAAGCCATGAGTTTTACAGAGTACGACCCCTCTGCGTCTCTATATACCTCTGGATCTGACACATCTGTAGGTTTCTCAATAGGAATGAAACCCGTTCCTACTACACAAAGAGTATCTGGTAACCCCACAGTAGAAAAGAACCCCACCACAGACATTTCTGCTTCCTCCCCGTGCGGCCAGTGAATTTCATTAGCCAAGTTACTGGTAACAAGGGTGCAGAATTCATCCAGCTGATCACAAATGAGTGACTCTGTGATGTGGAAACGATTTGCCACACTGTGGTAAGACTCTTGGGTAGAAAGAGCCCACAGGCTAGCAAGCACTGCATGCCACACTGTCCATCCCTCTTGCCTAATGGCAGTCCATTTACAAGGTGTCAGCAGCCGTACCAACTCCTACAAACACAAAAAGAACAATTTTGTTTTACAAAACACAAACGAGATTAGCAGAAACAAAAAAATAGGACCAGCATGAACTAAAGTAGCCTACCTCAGTTTGAGATGGTGTCAGCTGGAAGTGACTCTTAAAATCACTTATTGTCAAGCTTTGCAGCACGGTATTGAAAACATCTCTTTTGTCATCCTCTCTGACATGTGAAACAAAATAATGTTAAAGCATATGTGCATTATAAACAGCATCTTTCTTATATCAAATACTGTGTGGATCCTCTTACCTTTGCAGATCATCACTTGGTTCAGTTTTCAGAATCATTCTATTGAAATATACATTAATATCAAAATAATTAGTTGCATTGTTGGGTTTTCACAGCGGAAAATAAAAACTAGCTAGCTGTGATCTAACTTATAATCGAGCTGTCTTTGGTACATTGTAGGTAGTCAACCAGCAACCACGTTTCAAAATAACACCAGTTTAAGATGGATTTTCAACAGGCTGGACAACTGAAGGAATATTTCCAATAGTCAAATAGTTGCAAGCTGTAGTAAATAAACGGCGCATTAAAAAGAGGCGCCGTGTTGTTTGTTTGCCAAATAAAGCAAAATTAGAGACATATAGAATACAGTTTCCTTCACCTTACTTTCCGACGTTTACGAGTTGCATTTTTCTTGAAAAATAAGATATCTTCAACATCATAGCTGTCTGCTAACAAAAACGCAATACTTGATTCCAGCGCCATGCTTTTCGGACTCAGACTGTTGCAATGTCGCCCTCTTATGGCAAATCCATCTTATAACATACGGATTTCCCCACTAAATGTGGTTGATTTTCTTCAGTGGATATTGCTTGGGAACTTGTTTTAAAACCAGGCAAATTTGGGCAGAAAATATCTTAAATCAGCCTACGATAGTTAGGTGGTCTTATCTGGTTTAAGCTGGTCTTTGGCCAAGCAGGTATTCTGCTAGTTTAGCTGGTCAAAATCCTGGTCTCCCAGAGTGACCAGCTAAAACCACTAAAACCAGCCTACAAACCAACATAGTCTGGTTTATGATGGGCTTTTTTTTTTCTTCTTTTTTTAGCAATGATGGCATGTCTTGTCTCAGCCTATTATTCACTCAAAGTGTGGTTTAAAATCATATTCCATCGATAGATGGCACCAGAGTAATACAATGAGCCTGGCGTATGATTTATCTCTATGTAGATACTATCAATGGATCAACTGTTAATAAATTCCATCTCATTTACAAAAGAGAGAAAACATCAAGTGTGTTTGCTGATATGAGAGAGAATAATATGAGAGAAAGTGATCATGCTCAAACCCTCCTCAATAACCTTTGCCGTTTCCTCTTCAATCCCATTGACCTGAATGATGGCAAGCACAAAATAACAAAGAGCTACAGTGATGAGACTGCTTACTTCAGACTTGAGAGATGCTCTTACATCCTGCGTTAATCAGACAGAGTTAAATATGCAGGGAGTAATTGTGCAGGTCACAACCCCTCATCTTAATTTACACATTATTACATGGAGGTTATGCACTATAGGGCCATAAATCTGTATAAAAATCAACTATAACAAGTTGCATGGAAATTAAGACTGTGACATTTACTTTTGTTTCATGCCCAGGTATATTAAGTAAATGTTCTTTTTACAATGAGTGACATGGTTATTTTAAAACTATTTTAAAACTTACTTTTACAGTTAGCATCTTATCAGTGGATATTCAGTTATAGATATTGTAAAATAAAGGTCAATTCCATAAATATTAAATATTTATTTTCATTATCCTAGTCTAATCATTTGAAACCTAAACGTAGAATATTTGCATGTTAACAATATTACGCGGCTCTCCGGAATACTTTATTCTGATTGGTCGATCACGGAGTCAAGCGATCAAATATTTTCTTTCATGGCGACGCTGGATAGACGGTTCGTCCAGGTAAATTAAACTTATTAATATTACTATAATATTGTTGCTCGTGCTTGGTGGACTATTTTCTTTGCTACCTGACGGTTTAAGATTGTACAATTGTTCAGTATGAATACGAAATAGAGAGTAAACAAACATTACCATTAGTAAACGTTTAAGAGTAAAAAAAAATTAGCATTTTGAGTTGAGTGTGTAACATCATGGACATTAATATATAGGCCTTTAGTGAAGCAAATTATTTATTTTATCCAGTGCTTTCTGTTTTCGTGTACTGAGCTATTCAGATGCCAAACTAATTTTAGAAATAGTCCTGAATGCAGCTCATGATGAAGACGAAGCACAGTGGCCACCTATTGCCTCCCTCAAATCTTCTCTATTATTGTCTTCAAGAGGCTTTATAGCCGTCTTATCCAGCTGATGGGCCATGCACTGTACCCAAAGATGAGAGGGCAGGGGTGCCCAACAGGGTCAGATGTTTCTGCCCTTATGCCATGGCCCATTATTCAAAAGCTCTTATTCTGCCAGACCCCCTGGGTCTGTGTAAGCCTTGCCGACTGTGATCCTGTTGTCTTATTAAAAGAAGCTACAGGGCACAGAAGTCATCCACCTTAGGTTTCTGACACACCAATCAGCATCTGCGATGTCTCCTCCAGCTGACCTCTCATACGACCTTTGTAATGGGGTTGAACATTTAAGAAAGATCAGCAGCAAATGGAGGCTGGAATGGAGAGCTCTGCCATCAGCGGTGCTAAGTGACCACTGTGATGAAGCGATTCTATAATCATAATACCATAATCCCATGATCTTCAGACTTTGACCCTTATGAGGTCATAATGGGCCCTTTCATTCAGCAACACATGTTGGCTCTTAAGTGAGAATTCTCTAATTATAAAGCTATATTTCTTCAACAAAGCACCATATTCAACTTTAGCTATTTGACAGCTTTAAAAAGTTTGCATAACTACCAAAGTTACGCAGAAAGTATGTGATTGATGACAGAGCAGATTTATATAGAGTAGATGAAGGAACCTCAAATTACAGATATAAAACAAAAATTACATGAAGGGATGAATGAGAAATACAAATTTGTTAAGTAAAACTAAATTCACATTATCTCATTTATATCCCAGATACTATTATACAAAAATCGTAGTATATTTCTTATGATATTGCTATTATGCCAATTTTATCTATCAGTTAGTTGACAAACACTGCATACTTTTTCTTGCTGTCTAAAACACCACATGTTTAGTTTTCCTTTGAGATTTTTTACCCCCAACATAATACTTGACCTTATATGATGGATTAAATGTCATGTTTTGCAATATTTTATCTAACCTGTACTAATTTTAACACATAAGAAACAAAATAACTTATGCTGACATATACATACTACTGTCAATGTTATATTTTTTCCTTACAAACAATATTCAAGCAATATTGAGAATTGTAATAATTAAAAAGCAGAGGGTGACTGACATTGAATCAAATTACAAAATTACATTTACCAAATAAATAAATAAAGAATGATTTTCTTAGTCAATTCCTATTAAAGCTCCTTTGGGTAGATTATGGTGCTTGGAAACAAGCCAGAGGGGTTATTATAAAAAGCATGGTAAGAACTCACACTGCTAATCATGCTGTATACAATATATACTAAATAAACAATACATATGAATAATAAAAAAAAAATATATATATATATATATATATATATACAATAAAATGAAACACTTTTAGAATGAGTTCTCTTTATTATTCATAATAAAATTACAGCCTTACAAAATGTGAAAATAAAATCAGACTTTTGTTAGTAAGCAAGTTTTTCCAAAAGAGCACAAAGCAATCATTAATCAACACACAAAAATGATTTATAATGACAAGTCATCCAAAATCCTAATGGCAACATTTAAACAATGCAGCAGCTACTTTGAAGGTTTGTTGGATCAGTCCCTGCTGAGTTTCAGGCTCAGGGATATTTCATAATGGGCTCACTGCTCAAGGTCCAAAGACACTGCTCCGATTTTACCAAGGCAAAACGTGATGACGGATAATCTCACATCCCCCACCAGTTCCCCCTCATCCTCTCTAAGGTTCTTGTCAGGTAAAGAAAGGCTCGGGTCATTCATCTCAAAAGGTATTTCAGGTTTTGCGTCAGTTCCTCAAACACGTGGCCATAAAATTCGCCTGGTTGCTACATTTGGCAGTCACGTCAGGAGTAATGACTTTCACCAACAGATCTAGCATTGCAGGGATGAAAGCTGTCATTCTTGTTAGACATTGCACTCGTGAGCCACAAATGAAAAGGATATTTTTCCCCATATCTTCCTGTACGATCATATGATTGGATAAATCAAGTGAAATGCGCTTAACAGACAGTGTGATAGGCAATGGCTTGGCTCCATAAGACCAAAAAGCCAATGCAGCTTAACGGATGTGTTGTTACGATTAATCGGCCAAGTAACTTTATCCTACATTTAGATTAGCTGCTAATGACTGGGGAAACAGGTGCTTTTCAATCCAAGGAAAGTCCACGTAAACCTGAAAACAACAAGCCTGTCAATCGCACCAAGGAAGGCTTTAGGAGTTAAGCAAAATTAAAATGGAGGTATGAGGAAGCTATTTGAATTGAAAACTATTTTACAACTATAGAAGTATGCAAATATCTTATGAATAAACCTTACTGCATTCAGAGTATACAAAATAACACTTTACTTAATGCTATGGTCAACATCTGACTACAGAAAATTAAAGATCTCTCTGATGTATCACTATTAATTAAGCTTTCCTATTCCATGTCTATCTTTTTTAGAATAATTGGTGTGTTCATTAAATATCTGACAGTTTAGTATATAACCACACGATGAGAGAAGACTATGGCAAATCCATTGTAAAACAAAAAGTGAAGTAAACGGGCACATCGACCATCTAAAAAGGCTTCATGTTGCCTCTTCCATCCTTTACTTTTCTCCTCTACTCACTGCATACACCTTCGACCCTGAATAAAGTATTTGTTACAAGATCTTTCTCTAATGCACATGGAGTGCTTCCAGAAGTAGTACCATTGCCATGTACTGTGTGTGTGTGTACATGCGTTTGTGTGTGTGTGTGTGTGTGAGTTTGTTATCACCTAGGAAAATAGAGAATATAAAATGTAACATGGTCTGTTAGTGCAGTAAAAATGCAGAATAACCAGTCTAATGTACAAGATAAATGTCCCTCTTTTGGGATCACATCTCCTTCATACCTTAAATACAATAATATAATACTAGCATCCACTGTAATTATTGAAATCATCACTGATCCTCTGAGAAAATCAGTAGAATTATCAGTAAAACTTGCAATTGGCGTATTTAAATCAATAGTGCAAATCACGCAAAAAAAAAAATCTGATTTAAATAGGAAATTAATACAGCATCTGTAGAGCATCATAAAGTCTTTGATCCCGGATGTGCTTGGAATCCAGGAGAAGATGAGAACCCTACCCATCCATGCTGAAAGTGCCTGTTGGTTTGGCAGGAGAGGTGAACCAGAGATTCAGTGCCCTCTCTTCCCCTCCTCGCCTCATCTCCACTCAGCTGAATTTGTCTTGGATATTCATTAGGCTGCTGCTAGACTTGACTCTTTTGGCTGTGGATCAGGATGAGAGAATAGATTAGAACTAAACTGGCAAGAGATGCAACAGAATATTCAATGCACAGTTTAACGTTGAAGTCAGAGACCTGCTTTAGAGCATTAAAAACACACTTTGTCTTCTACATGTTTTGACAGATGCTAAAATTAGTAGTTTTAGAGACCGCTTGGTTAAATACTGTCTG